AGGATGGGATTTGAATCCCCAAGGGGGGGGGGAAGAAGAAGCACACACACACACAAGAAAGAGAGGAAAAAGAGGAGGAAGAAGGTCACAACAAAAAAAGAAGAAGGAATTAAAGGGAGAAGGCATTTTCAATATCAGTGGATTACCCCTTACAGAAGAAGAAACACATGCGCTTAGCAAGGGTCTTAAGTATGCCCCACAAAAGGGATTAAATAAATTTGATACATATGTAAGCATTCAGAAATTGATCAGGAAACTCAATCTTAAAAAGTATTATGCCAACAACCCCATTACACACAACACAGGAGCAACAGAAAATACTATGCATAGCCAACTTAAAAAAACAAATCAGTGTTTAATCCCCAGATTGGAGATAATAAATATATAGACACATTTAAACAAATGGTATTACAAGATTTAGAATCTCTCAAAATTAAAAAACCTAAAATAGAGGTGAATTTAAAGAGAGGTTTAGATTCATTGAAAAAGAGGGATGACATAATAATACGCCCAGCAGACAAAGGAGGGGGTATAGTGATACAATCAAGGATTTATTATGAATCAGTAATGGCAGATATGCTTAATGACAGAGACACATATGAAGTGCTTATCAGTAATCCTATTAAGGAATATAAGAAACAGCTTATCAAACTAGTCACAAAAGGGAAAAAGAAAGGAGTTATTAATGAGAAAGAACATCAATATCTAATACCATCAGTATGTAGGCTACCTATCATGTATTCAGTTCCGAAAATTCACAAAGACAACACCAACCCGCCAGGTAGGCCCATCATTAATGGAATAGATTCACTCACAGCGAGGTTAGGTGAATATGTAGATTATCATCTACAACCATTGGTCACTAAAACTACAGCATATCTAAGGGATACAAAACATGTGATACAAGAAATGAAGGATACACTGACAGATAAAAACACGCTTTTAAGTACAGCAGATGTAGCAGCACTGTATACTAACATAGACCATCAGGGGGCTATAGAAGCAGCTATATGGGCACTTAATAAATATGGAAATAACACCACCAGACACAACAGATTCATCATAAGGTGTATAAAGTTCTGCCTTACTCATAATTATTTTTGGTATGGTAATAATACATACTATTCACAAAGGAAAGGAGTTGCTATGGGCGCTAAATTCGCCCCTAGCATCGCTAATCTTTATATGGCAAAATGGGAAGATGAATCAGTGTTCAAAAATAAGAACCCAGGAATAAAAATATACAAAAGGTATATTGATGACCTCTTGGTGATATGGAGTGGAGAAAAGGTAGAAACTTGAGAAATTTTATAACGATTTAAATATGAATGAAGCCAATATAAAACTGCTATGACACACATGAAACTTCTATTAATTTTTTAGACATTCAAATCTACAAAGAGGGATTACAATTGTATACCAAGAATCATTTCAAATCTGTTGATAGAAACTCATATATCCCCATAGATAGCTGCCATCATAAAGCGTGGCTAAGCAATATCCCTAGAGGCCAATTTATTAGATTAAAAAGGAACTGTACAAACATGAAAGACTATGTAGAACAAAGTGGAATAATATCAGAAAGATTTATTGATAAAGGATATAAGAAAGAAATAATACAAAAAGAAAGGGAGCAAATAGGCCTTATGGACCGTAATGTATTAATAGCAGACAAACATAAAGAGAATACTGAAAAGGAGGAATTGGCGGTAGTGTTGAGTTATAATACCCAGTATAAATCAATACAAAACATAATAAAGAAACATTGGAAGATCTTAGCATTAGATAAGCACCTGAAAAATAATATTCCCACAATACCTAGGTTTATATATACAAAAGCTCCAAATATTAGGGACAAAGTGGTGAAGAGTATAATAGCACCACCTGTTAAACATCAACAAATTAGTTTTTTTCAAGGAAAAGGGTTTTATACCTGTGGTAGATGCTATAGTTGCATCAGACTGAAAAATAACCCCAGGAGAAGATTTACATTTCAGAACCCCCTAAATGAAAAGGAATACACCATCCAGCAATTTATATCATGTGATACAAGAGGGGTTATCTATGCCCTCAAATGCCCATGTAATCTCATCTACATTGGACGCACGAAAAGGATGTTAAGGGAAAGAATAAAAGAACATGTATATAATATAAACAGAGGATACAAGTATCACCACTTATCGCAGCATTTCAAAAAATACCACAATAAAGATGCAAGAAAATTAGAGTTCTGGGGTGTAGAAAAACATGTACAACACTGGAGGGGAGATAACCTGATAAGGGAAATTAGCAAGAAAGAATCGAAGTGGATCTATGAAATGGGCTGTCTGGCTCCCAATGGGTTAAATAAGGAGTTTGACCTTACATGCTTTATTAGTAACAAATAAGTATAGAAATAGTTCCCAATCTAACTTTGAGGCGTTGAATATATATAGATTGGGGATTGAAGTAATGTATCTGACATGAATTTAGGAATATGTGGAGTGAGTTTAGGGTAGAATTAGAGAATTTATGACTAGCACAAAACGCATGTAAGTTATATCAAGTATCATATCCTCAAGTAATACCTTCTTAAATACAAAACCAAAACCCAGATGTAAAGAAAGATGTAAGTTAAATAATATCTCAAAATTGAAGGAATTAGATAATTAATGACAAATAGGTTACTTGAGAAGTAACATACATGCGTTTTCTATTTTTTTTTTTTTTTTTTTTTTATTATCTTTTATTATTTGATTTTTAAAAAAAATTTTTTTTTTATTTTATTTTATTGGTTAAATTTATAATTTTGAATTTTATATTTTTAATATTGTATTATTAATAAAACATGGTTTTAATTTAGCCTAATAGGTATACTTTCAATATATAATGTATAGCCAACAGCCACTGTTTAGAAACTGCAGAGCAAGAGACAGATCACAGCTGACCCAGTTAGCAATGTCTGGCAGACAGATATCACGTTATAATTTGAGTAGACACACAGGTGTAAACACTCACCATACATAGAGTTTAAGAAAATCACTGGGAAAATGGCCGCGCCCATTGGGCTCCAGTAAAAAGGCGGCCGAGAGAGATATAAATAGGAGTATTAGCATAGTCGTGGCATCTAATCATTCCCCCTGATGAAGTCACGTGACCCTGTGACGATACGCGTAGGGGAGGGGCTCTGACGTCACGACATTGCACTGGAGAGGCTCGGTGATCTGAATACAGACACAGGTAGACAGCACTGCAGGAACAGAGGCAGAGCACATTTATGCTGGACTACAATTGTATACTACTGTGCAACTGGCAGCAATAAACCCCCTTTTTGCACAAGGATAAGACACTATGGTCTGTTTGTCTTCCTTTCTCAATTGAACAACACCCTTTGAGCTGATATAAGGAGGACTGGAAAAGGAAACAGCCCCAGGAGGGGAATTGGGAGATCCTCAGAGAGATGGTCAGTATACCCACTCATGAGCAGCTACAGGAGAACAAATATAAATCCACATCCCTTCTGAGATAATTCAAGAGCATCATTCCATCCCATCTATCCTGGAAGGATAAAAAGTGTATTTGCCTGGATTTATTCAGGCAAATATAGAGGTGAGCACATAGGGAGACCATTAAGCACTCGGCGAGAGGGAACCAAGAATCCACCTGCACATTTATTTTGAAAGACTTTTTTTTTTTTTTTTTTTTTTTTTTTTTTTTTTTATTGAATATATCATAAGCACGTGCACATAATATATATGTGTTTGCACAATATAAATATAAGGATCACAGTAGAATAGAGGAGTATTTCTGATTTGTATATCACTGTACTTTAATAGGCACTATCACCTTAGGATTATCAGTTATTAATGTCACTTGCATGAAGATTTAATATTCACAATGATGTTTTGAGTCACTAGTAATAATTGTTTGATACATGCAGTATCTTGAAAGCTATTCATTAGCACTTTGAAAGTATAAGATATACATATTGGTACATGGGAGCGCGGCACTATCTATTTTGAAAATATTATATATACACTAGCATATGAGTCAGTGCAAGTGCCAGCGAACCTCACGTGAGAAATAAGGACATCTAAAGTCACATATTGAACACCTCATTTCATAATAGCTCACAACCCCGCCTCTTATCTCGGATCGTTGGTGGTATCGATAAATACCCTTCCCAAGTGGTCACCAGTAAGGCAAGAAAACTTACATAGTGTTAAACCGCTTTATTAGATCAATAATAAAAACAGAGATCTACTCACATGCTCATTCATTACATACAGGCCTTCACACCACTCAAAGGGTGTACTGCATTCAGGCAAAGGAGCACCAAGATGGCGCCCGCGCCGGATATGACGTCAGAACGTTCGGTCGTATAAGCTCCTCCCACTGGCGTATCTACGCGTTACGTCACTTTCAAATAATCAGGTTGAAGTCTGTAAGCTTGGACTGCTCCTTGTTATTCAGCCTTGAAAATGCTGCAGCATATTATCGCTCGCCAGCGGAGCTATCATACATATCGCCGCCTAGAAATCTGGAGCCAGCCTTGTTACCGCCATGTGAACCTTGCCGCGTAGCCTGTCATGAGGAACATTTGCTGGGACCGCTTTGACAATAGAGATGCTTGTCAGTCTGCATGACAGGAGGTTTAATAAGATTATGCGTAAGTTACAGAGCCTCGTCACGGCACCCCAGGATTCTGTAGTTCCTAACTGTCCAATTTTTTGAACAGTTAAATTGGACAGTTAGGAACTACAGAATGTAGTGGACCAATACAATCGCAATTTTTTTTTTATTAATGCCCATGTTGAGGGTTAGGCCTAAAAAAAATATAAATTTGGAAACCGTAATGAGTTTCCATGTGACTGGTCTTGCAAGGTTTGAATTTGGGTTGGTGGTGGTACATTGTTGTGCACATAAAATGCTTTGATCCACAATCAATGCATACAGATCTTCCGTGAAAAACTGCTCCAAAAATCAAGGGGAGTAGTTAAATTTGCTATTTCCACCTGAATTCTGGGTTGGGCAGTGAATGGGGGATATGAATACGGATGCTGCAGAATTTGTGGGCTGCCATTCGGGATTTGCAAGCACATCCGGAAAGATAGTAGAGGCTCTACGGGCCTGTGTGCGAATTCTTGGTGGTTGCAGGACAATACTTGTGCTCGCCACCTCACCAGCTTGTACTGCACTTATGGGACTCGTTATGTCGCCAAGTGATTCTGCAGTGCTGGTATTATTATTATAATACAGGATTTATATAGCTCCAACAAATTGCTCAGCACTTTACAATATAAAAGGAGACAATACAGTTCAATACAAGAGGGTTCGGAGGGCCTGATCCTGGATGCTTACAATCTGAGGTATGTGAAAAACCAGGATGTACTAGGCCACTGGTGCTCGCCAGTTCACCAAAAGGTAGCATGGCACTAGTACTGGCACTCTGCTGCATTTGAGAGTCATCAAAATTTACTGACAAGTGCTAACAGAGATGAGGACTGATTCTGCCAACACTGCGGATTGTGTGCAATGTATCAAGTGACAGTGACCTACTGACACTGCACTTGCTGGGGGAAAAAGGGGGGGGAGGGTAAGCGCAGGGGCTAAACGCAGGTGATGGAACTGATCCCGCTAACACTGCGTTTTTGGGGACGCTATACTAATGTGAACGCTGGTCTAGTGCTGAGCTGATCAAAGATATTATTCCGTTCAGACACTATACTAGCAATGGAGGTTTAATGTGTATAAGCTTGTTCCTGGCAATCAAGGGGTTAAATGTGATTAATGGTGTACTGACGGGTAATCTGATGCTATCTGGGAGGGGCATGAAAACCACAGGAGTGCAAATCACGTGTTTTATATGTATGTGTGTGTATGTGTGTGTGTATATATATATATATATATATATATATATATATATATATATATATATATATATATATATATTTATGTGTGTGATTTTGCGTACCAGTGCCTCCCTGTAGCAGTATTTTGCTATAAGGCGGTCAGGAAGCGGTTACATACCTGTAAGGGGTTTGTGTTACGGTGCTGCGTTACTTTAACTGACAATTGCACGGTCATGCAACGCTGCACCAAAATTAAATTTACATCCCTTTTTCCCCACGAATTGAGCTTTCTTTTGGTGGTATTGATCACCTGTGTGTTTTTTATTTTTTGAGCTATAAAAAAAAAAACCTGACAATTCTGAGAAAAAAAACTATATTTTGGACTTTTTGCTATAAATCATGTCCAGTAAAAAAATTTAAAAATCAAATTTCGTCATACATTTCAGCCAAAATGTATTCTGTGACATGTCTTTGCTAAAAAAAATCCCAATACGTGTAAATTAATTGGTTTACGTGAAAGTTATAGCGTTTACAAATGGCAGTATAGATACTGGATTTTTTTTTTATACTAATAATAGACTAAATCATCGACTTATGGCGGGACTGCGGTGGACATTCTGACACTGGGGGGGGAACTGACTTGGGGTCACTGACATCCCCAGTGACACCAATACAGTGATCAGTGCAAAAAAAAAAAAACCCGCTGACATTGTACTAATGGCACTGGGGAGGAAGGGGTTAACATTGGGAGGCAATGAAAGCGTTAACTGTGAGGGGAGTGTTTTACTAGGGGGCGGGGGGGTGTACTTCTCCTTTACACACTGTTCTGGAAGGCTGTGACCAGCGATCCCAGAACAGTGTGCTGGTAGCTGACAGGAAGGAAAGCGCCATTGGAAACAATGCAGCCTTCCTCCCCGTCTGTGTTTGCCGGCAATCGCCGGGCTCTGGCGGGTAATCACCGGCCGGGACCCGGTGATTGACACCCGCTGCTGCGATCGGTGCCGCGGGATACGCCGGCCACACGCCTCGCGTGCTCCCCCCTACTCAGGAATGCAGAATCACGTTTATATACGTGATCCTGTGCACAGGGGCCACCTTGTAGCAGTATATGTACTGCCGGCGGTCCCCTAGTGGTTAAATAAAACTAACGACAAGTCAGATTTTAAGAACACCCTGCTGTCTGGACTACCTTTTTCTCAGTGAAGGTGATCCCCCACCTGACCTACCCTAAATATATATATAAATGTGTGTGTGTATATATATATATATATATATATATATATATATATAATATATGTGTGTGTGTGTGTGTGTGTGTGTGTGTGTGTGTGTGTGTGTATGTGTGTGTATATATATATATATATATATATATACACACACACATTTAGGCCCATATGTATTTGGACACAGGCACAATTTTAGTTTTTTTTTCAGGTATTTACCAAAACATAGTCAAGCTATAGTTTATATAATGGATAGGAGCTGAAAGTGCACACTCTCAGGCTTAATTTGAGGGTAAGTACATCCAAATTGGAAGAAGGGTTTAGGTATTACAGCTCTAAAGAGTAGCCATCCCCCTTTTTCAAGGGACCAAAAGTAATTGGACAATTGAATCAAAAGCTGTTTCATGGCCAGGTGTGGGCTACGCTACAATCTTCAATCTCTCCCTCTCTACTGGTGCATTCCCCTCCCCCCTAAAGCACGCACACATCACCTCCATACTCAAAAAAACCCTCCCTGGACCCCACCGACCTGAACAACCTTAGACCCATTTCCCTGCTGCCATTTACTTCCAAGCTCCTTGAGCGCTTAGTCTACAATCGCCTAAGCGCCCACCCCACTGACAACAAACTCCTCGATCCACTACAGTCTGGCTTCCGTCCCCTACACTCCACCGAAACCACCCTACTCAAAATCACTAATGACCTGCTAAACGCCAAAGCTAATGGCCACTACTCGGTCCTCATACTCCTTGACCTTTACGCGGCCTTCGACACAGTCGACCACCCCCTCCTCCTTAACAAACTACACTCCCTCGGCATCAGAGACTCCGCTCTCTCCTGGCTCTCCTCCTATCTATCCCAATGCTCCTTCAGCGTTACCTATTATGCTACCACCTCCCCCTCTCTCCCCCTCTCTGTTGGGGTCCCCGAAGGCTCCGTCCTTGGGCCCCTTCTCTTCTCCATCTACACCTCCTCCCTCGGCAAACTGATACACTCCCACGACTTCAACTATCACCTCTACGCCGATGACACGCAATATTACCTCTCCACCCCTCGCCTCACCCCTTCAGTCTACGCCTGTATCACCCACCTACTGAACGACATATCAGACTGGATGTCGCTCCATTTCCTCAAATTGAACCTTACCAAAACCGAGCTCCTGATTTTCCCCCCAGCCCGTGACCAACAATGCCACCATCAGTCCCACCCCGCAAGCCAAAGTCCTAGGTGTCACTCTAGACTCAAACCTGTCCTTCCAACCCCATGTCCAATCGTTGGCAAACTCCACCTTCGCAACATTTCCAGAATACATTCGTTCCTAACCCCAGACACTACTAAACAACTCGTTCACTCCGTTATCTCACGTCTGGACTACTGCAACTCCCTTCTCACTGGCCTAACTCAGCGCAGACTATCCCCACTTCAGTCTATCCTAAACCCAGACTCATCCACCTTACCAACCTCTCCGCTTCTGCCACCCCCTCTGTCATTCCCTCCACTGGCTCCCGATTGCCCAACGCATTAATTTCAAACTACTAACACAGACATACAAAGCCATTCATAATGCTGCCCCAAACTACCTCACCGACCTGATACCCAAATACCGCCCTACCCGTAATCTTCGCTCCTCACAAGACCTCCTACTTTCTAGCTCCCTGGTCTCCACCTCCCACGCCTGACTGCTGCGGGACTTCTCCAGGACTTCCCCCATCCTCTGGAACTCACTACCCCAATCCATCAGACTGTCACCTACCCTCCTCACCTTTAGGCGCACCCTGAAAACCCATCTCTTCAGGGAAGCCTACCCTGCCATCACCTAACAGCCGATCTCCTCCCACCAGTCCATCCCCCACAGCCACTTCCTCCTGTACCACTATCCCCTCCCTCCTAGATTGTAAGCTCGAAAGAGCAGGGCCCTTGAATCCCTTGTGTTTTGTTACTGTATTGTCTCATGTTCTGTCCCCCACTATAATGTACAGCGCTGAGCAAACCTTTTAGCGCTATATAAATACTGTATAATAATAATTGTCAAAGTCTGCAATCAAGAGGAGACGTCACAAGAGCAAATACAGAGGGTTCCCCACAAGGTGCAAACTGAAGAATAGAAAAGCCAGATTAGACTTTGCCAGAAAACATCTAAAAAAGCTAGACCAGTTCTGGAAAAGCATTCTTTGGATGGATGAAACTAATATTAATCTGTACCAGAATGATGGGAAGAAAAAGGTGTGGAGGAGGCTTGGAACAGCTCATGATCCAAAGCACACAACTTCATCTGTAAAACATAGTGGAGGCAGTGTAATGGCATGGGCATGCATGGCTTCCAGTGGCACTGGGTCATTGGTGTTTATTGATGATGTGACAGAAGCAGCCGGATGAATTATGCAGTGTTTAGAGATATACTGTCAGCCCGGATTCAGCCAAATGCAGCAAAGTTTATTGGACGGCGCTACACAGTACAGATGGATAATGATCCAAAACACACTGGAAAAGCAACCCAGGAGCTTTTAAAGGAAAAAAATGGAATATTCTGTAAGACCTCCAAACTTCATGTGGCTTTTTGATTAGCACAACAGTGCGTAGAGAGCTTCATGGAATGGGTTCCCATGGCCGAGCACCTGCATCCAAGCCTTACATCACCAAGTGCAATGCAAATCTTAGCATGCAGCGATGTAAAGCACGCCGCCACTGGACTCTAGAGCAGTGGAGACGTGTTCTCTGGAGTGACCAGGCACACTTCTCTGTTTGGTAATCCGATGGACATGTCTGGGTTTGACAGTTGCCAGGAGAACGGTACTTGCCTGACTGCACTGTGCTAAGTGTAATGTTTGGTGGGGGGGGGGGGGGGGTTAGGGTGTGGAGTTGTTTTTCAGGGGTTGGGCTTGGCCCCTTAGTTCCAGTGAAGGAACTCTTAAGGAGTCCGCATACCAAGACATTTTGGACAGTATCATGCTCCCAAATTTGTGGGAACAGTTTGGGGATGGCCCCTTCCTGTTCCAACATGACTGCACAAAGCAAGGTCCATAAAGATATGGATGAGCGAGTTTGGGGTCGAGGAACTTGACTGGCCTGCATCTCACCCGATAGAGCACCTTTATGATGAATTGTAGCAGAGACTGCGAGCCAGGCCTTCTCGTCTGACATCAGTGCCTGACCTCACAAATGCACTTCTGGAAGAATGGTCAAACATTCCCATAGACTCAATCCTAAACCTTGTGGACAGCCTTCCTAGAAGAGTTGAAGCTGTTATAGCTGCAAAGGGTGGGCCAACTCAATATTGAACCCTATGAACTAAGACTGGGATGCCACTAAAGTTCATGTGCGTGTAAAGGCAGGCGTCCGAATACTTTTTGCACTATAGTGTGTGTGTGCGTGTGTGCGTATGTATATGTGTGTGTGTGTATGTATATTGTGACAGTGTGGCGATCTGTCACCCAGGATTC